GCTAATGGGTACAGTCTGCAAGCCCGGATGCCCACAAAAAGGGACAGAGACACACAGGTAGAGGGCGCCGTGGGTGCAGGTGGAGGGCGCCGTGGGTGGGGCCAAGCTACCCTCTCAAGTGTCCCCAAGGCCCGGTTATAGGGTGGGGAGAGGGGACCTTTTCCTCCATGTGGCAAATTCCACTTTGAGCCCCAAATCACATGACCAGACCTTGAGCAGTTCTGGAAGGCTCCCCCAGCAGCCCAGTGCCCCCCAGAGCCCACCCTTACCTCCCTTGTGTTGGCACTGCCCAAGGGGCCCTCTCACTGCAGCCCTAGCCCCTGGAGGAGTGCTTGACCCCCAACTATGTCACTTGGAGCTAGAGGGGGTTAGGGTTAGGGTTAGGCCCTGGCTGCCCAGCTGCATGGAATCATGCTCCCCATTGCGCTCAGTGGCCCCCGGGAGCAAGGAAGTGCCTGGAACGAATGATTGAGGCTGGAGTTCACGAAGCCTGAAAAAGTGACCACTTCAACAAACGCATGAGGTAACTCAGAGAAAGAACCTCTTGGTGGCCAGAAAATCGCAAAAAACAGCACGGGCAGACAGACCCCTAGGCCAGAGCCTCACCCCTGGGATGGGAACCTTCAGCTCTCCATCACTCAAGAGGTGCACCTCTGAAGGACTGCAAGTCACCCTCAAGGGGTCCCCTCGGGTCCACCTCCACCAATCAACCCCTCACAGAAGCCAGGGCAAGGTTTCCACACAGGTACATCTCAGGTTAATGTGGGCTCACCTGGCTGCTGCCAGGTGGCTCCCCCTCAAGCCACTGGAGATAGAGACTTGCCAACCTGCCTAAACCAGGCTCCGTCAGCCCCCTTTCCAAGGAGAAGAGCCACAGCAAACACCCAGCAGAAACCCAGTCTCGCCCTTCTGGAAGTGCTGTTCCCAACAGTCCTGGGACCCACTGCCCTGCCTCCCACCACAGCCCAACAGAAACTATCTAACTGCCCGAAATTGGGCCTGGCAGTAGCTGAGAGGGTAAGGGGCCAAGAGGCTGCATATAGACCCTTATTGTAGCTGTGGCACTGCTATTTCTGAAGATGTTCCTGGATTTCTTTTTCTTTTGTTTTCTGAACATTTTACTAGGAGCTCTTACAGACAGTATTACAAGCCATAGTCCCATTAGTCCCCTTGATTTCTTGAGAGTGGCTTCCTGCTTCCCAAGGTAGGGCCAAGAGCTCATCCAGAAACGTTTCCCTTTGCTGCTTCGCAAATGTCTGCACTGGACAAAGGCTGCCCAAGAGGACCCAAACCCTGGGCTTGTGGCAGGGGGATGGTGATTGGGTGATGTTAGCTAGCAGGCACCATGGAGAGTGTGCCATCCCCTTGAGCCAGGGGACAAGGGCTCTGCTCAGGTACCCCAGGGCAGGAGCAGGCAGTCTTGGCCCGGTCCGGCGTGCAGTGAAGCACAGAGCCCCAAACAAGCCGGTCTCGCTGGCAGGGGCTGGGTCAGTTCAGGTGTCTCCCCCAAACAGATGGGACTCACCAGAAGATGGTGCCACGCTGTCTCTTCGGGCCAGGCCGGGCCTGGCCGGGCCTGAGCTCTCGGGCCATGTCCAGATCTAAAGCGAGAACAGGAGAGCAGACCCGAGGGTGAGATACAAGTGGTGATTGGGATCGTTCCCGGCGTCCTGCTGCTGCCCGCTGGGACAGGGCCGGACAGAAGCCTCTACCCGCCCACCTGCCCGATGCCATGCCCACGCCCACCTGCCTCTCGGCTAAGCCCCTGCCTGGCTGCATCTCAAAGAGCCTGGGCAGCCAGAGGGTGAGGCCGAGGGAGCACTTTTTACAAAGTCCTTTCATAGTGCAGAGAATGGCAGCCCTCGGATGGACAGCCTGCCCGACACAAGATGGCATGAGTTCCAGGCCCACCTCTGAGAGGCTTCTGGTTTGGTCCCAACCGCAACAATGAAGCAAATACCCTCCCAGTCACAGGACTTCATGGTTTTCCAGGGCATGTAACAGTGATGTTGACTGTTGTCTGCTACAAGGGGAGTCAGGCCATGGTGGCTGAGTTGGCTGTGTGTTCAGCTGCCAACCGAGAGAGGCCAGCAGTATGAACCCACCGGCTGCTCAGAGCAAAAAAGGAGGTGTTCTGATCTCATCATTTTACAGCCTCGGAGACTTTAGCAAGAAGCTCTACTCTGTCCTATAAGGTTGCTGTGCGTTAGGGTTGGTTCAGTGGCAGAGGGTTTGGTTTTCTGGGATGGGAACATTTTCAAGTATTTTAAGAATGACCATATTATGACATAGAAACATGCAGTGACCACATGCTGCTGGAAAAATGGGACCAAGGGACTTGCTATAGGTTTCCCCAAACGTTCATATTTGGAAAAGCGTCTCACCTGTTCCATCACACAGAGAAACAGAAATACCAACTGACCCGCCAACCAAGCTCCTTGGTGTATATACCCTACAGAAATCAAGAACACAGCACACCCATGCCCATGTTCATCACAGCACTATTCACCAGAGCATTCGTTGCCAACGCTGAACCTTCACAGACTGAGCAATGACTGCTCAGAAAAAGGAAAAGGCAGGCAGCTCGCATCACGCTCACGAGGCTCGACCACAGGGCCAGGTGGTGGGTTGAGCAGGAAGACTACCCTGAAGCCCAATCAGCAGTCTGGAAGCGAGCCCACCATCATAAAGTGGGCTGGCGGAGGTCTGAGCAGCTCCAAAGAGCCCATCACCACCAACAGCAAACCACACCCAGTGTGGCATCTTCCTGGGCGCTGGCCACCTGCAGCTCAGAATAGGCCCTGACCCAATTGCAAGCAGACAGAGCAGAAGGTCATCAGGCTTTGCTCCCTACTCATCTCTCACAGAGACCCCCAAACAAACTTCCGATGACATTCTCTCTTGGTTTCCCCAGCCTGGAGTGCCTGGCTCCGTGGAACGTGGACAAGTCCACTAGTGGATGGGAGTCATGACAACATATGAGTCAAAGGCAGGGGAGATGGGCAGGCAAGCAGAAGAATGAGAGAGGCCAGGGAAATGGCTCTGAACAAGGACATGAGGGAGAGGGTGGGTGGACAGGTTGAACAACTAGTCTCCACAGTCTACCCGACTCCCAAACATGTCCACCCTGAATCCATCAGCTAAATGCAGTATGCTTCACTCCTTTCCACTGGGTTCCCAGGAAGAAGGGCAAGGGTCTTGTATCCTCAACCTAAAGATGGCAGCCAGCAGCTAACAGCTCCTGCTATTTGTGCTACAAACTTTACATCCATTATCTCGTTAAATCCTCCCAAGACAAATGCTACTGGGATCCTCATCTTACAGGAGGGTTACTGCATGGGTCCAGGGGTTGCGGAACAGGAGGAGGGGCTGGGTGAAATCTCAGTGCCTTGCTTCCCAACACCCACATGACCCCAAGAAGTCTGACACTCAGAGCTGCCCAGTGAACCCGCCTACAAGCAGAGCCAAGTCCTGTTGGCCAGTCCTGTCTCCATCCTTCCAGAGCTTCTGGAGCTAACCAGTATCTTCAACAAATTCCTTCTGCTTAGAGTCGCCAGAATCCGTTTCTGCTGCTTAAAACTGAGAACCCTGACGGATGTAAAAATAGGCAGCAGGTGTAGATGAAGCAAGAAGTCCTACGGGAAGTGGGGCAATCTGTGGCTGGTAAATGCCAGGGGCATTGGCCGCATTAAGGGACAGGCCACCAGCAGCCCCTGAGATGCCATGCTGAGACAGTTAATCCCATGGTCCCCACAACAAAGCACCCATCAAAGGGGAGGCTTTCAGGGCCTCTGGGCCCCTTGCCACAGGAGGGTATAATGATCAGGCCAAAGTCAAGGGCTCTTGGGCAGGGTGGCTGTACTAATAGCTCTGAACAACTTCAGGGGGAAAAAAAGACAAGTTAACAGTCCGAATTCTTGACTCAAGGCATGGTTAAAAAGAGGAATTTTCATCCTGCAGCTACAGAGCTAAGAAAGTAAAACACATTTTTTTAAAAAGTAAAACAAATGGACACTAAAGAGTTTGACCCACTTGTTCTGAAGCCACATTGTCAAATGGATTCACACGTAACAGACCTCTTGTCAGGAAAAAGTAAAGCTTGACCTCCAGGGACAATTAGAACGGGGCTCCAGGGGGAGCCGTGGTCTCCTCTGGCAGCCAAAGCAATTCCTCTTCATCAGAGTCCAGCTACTTCTCTGCGGAGTCTATCTTCCTTTCCTCTAGAGCAGCGGTTCTCAACCTTCCTAAAACCGCGACCCTTTCATACAGTTCCTCATGGGGTGGTGACCCCCAAACATCAAATTATTTCCGTTGCTACTTCATCACTGTCATTTTGCTATTGTTTGTTATGAATCAGGTGACCCCTGTGAAAGGTTTGTTCCACCTCCAAAGGGGTGGAGACCCACAAGTTGGGAACCGCTGCTCTACAGGTTGTTGGTCTAGATGCTATCCCCGGCCTCCCTCACAGTCATGGTGCAGTCATGGCTCTGGGTGAGAGGCATCCCGCTACTTCTGGGCCTGATCCACAGCACCTACCGGACTGACCCTCCATTTTCCTGCTTCCTGAATTACCACCTGGATGGCAATGCCCTGGGTGACCTGGGCAGCCATATGCTGCAGGTGGATGGGCTTTGGGTAGCCTGGGTTCCATCTCCCCCAGTGCCCTTGGGTGAGGAATAGCCTTCTGCCATAAACAATCGTGGGAGGTCCATTCCCAACGGCCAGCGCCTCCTTAAATCACCTGCCCCTAAGGAGTCCCTTGCAAAGGGAAATCAAATGATGTACTGCAGTGGGCAAATCTGCTGCAAAAGATCACTTTAAAGTGTTAAAAAGCAAAGATGTCGCTTTGAAGACTAGGACCCAAGTCATGGATATTTTTCATTGCCTCAGACATCTGTGAAAGCAATGAATAAGGAAGACCATAGAATCAATGCCTTTGAATAATAGTGTTGGCAAAGAATAGTCAATGTGCCATGGTCTGTCAGAAGAATGAACGGAATCCGTGTTGGAAAAAGTACAGCCAGAATGTGCCTTAGAATTGAGGATGGTGAGACACTGGGCATATTATCAGGAGCGACTGTCCCTGCAGAAGGACATCACGCCTTGTCAAAGACCCTCAAGATGGACTGGCACTGTAGTGGCTGTAACAATGGGCTCAATGACTGTGAGGCTGGCACGGGCCAGGCAGCATGTTGCTCTGTTGCACATAAGGCCACCGTGGAGCCAGAACCACCTGGAGGTCCCCTGACCACCACCACACAGGAGATAACAGAGGGTTCCTGAGATTTCAGTGTGTGCAGGCAGGAACTATCCTTTGCAGATGTCCATCAGAGACACGCTGGGTGACAGGATAAGCCACAGGCCGGAAATAATGACTGCCAGGTCGGTGAACACAATGCCCTACTCTGCTGAACAAATATCTCCATGTGTGTCTGGCTCTCATCAAGTAAATACCCCGAGGCTGTCCAGGAGCAGCTCTGAACTCTTGGCCAAGATCAAGCAATGGCAATCCCTGGATGCCTTGGGCTTTAGGTACCCAAGGCTGTGACAGCTTGGATTCTCTACAAAGCAGTCCCCAGAGAGGGGGTGACCACACCCCAAGTGTCAGTACCACAAGGTATCCCAGTAGAGTGCACAATGAAAATATTAGGGCTTTTACAGAGCTGGCTATTTTTGCCTTTTACATTTTTTATTTGTCTCCCTTTCATAATGCACTGTGCATGTTCTCAGGTACTGTCAAGGTAGCTCCTGCGCACACCGACCCTGTGTACAACAGAATGAAAAACTGCCCGTCCTGCACCCTCCTCACCGTCGCTATATTTGAGCTCATTGTTGTGGTTGATGTGTCCCTCCATTTTGTTGAGGGTCCCCTCTCTTTTTTTTAATGCACTATTCATGTTAATAAAATAAAACTAGTTGATGTTGGGTCCACTTCAACTCATGGCGACCCCATGTGTGGCAGAGCAGAACTGGGTTCCAGAGGGTTTTTCAATCCCTGATTTTCAGAAGTATATTTCCAGGCATTTCTCTCCAGGAGCTTCTGCGTGGACTCACACGGCGGAGCGTGTAGCCAGGCACCACCCAGGAACTCCAGTGCAGCTCTAACTACAGAGACATGGCGGTGGCTCATGCGCAAATGTTCACAAAAGGGGGTTTGCAACCAACACTGTTTGCAGAGCCTGCCGGACACCAACAAGAGCCCCCTGGCATTGTGGGTTATAAATTGGACTACTAACCACAAAGTCAGCAGTTTGAACCCACCAGCTGTGCCATGGGAGACGGAGAGGCATTTTACCCTTGTAAAGGTTTACAACCTTGGGAACCCAAAGGTGCAGTTCTACTCTGTCCTATAGGGTCCTTACGAATAGGAATTCTCCTTGGAAGTAAGGCCACTTGTTTTGTACCCTCATCCTGCACATGGTCTGGTTGGCATCCTGGGCCTGGTTCTCTTTGCCCTGGGAAGCCACACAAACAGAGATGACGGGGCTTTCCCAGAGCCAAGGCTAAGGCCCTGTGCCCCTCATTGCTTCCCTCAGTACACGCAGGGGGCATCTCGGGCTGTGACGAACCTCTGGGGGAAATCCACACCTTGGTTTCGAAAAGTTGACCACATCAAGGCATATAAGTTCCCAGCCAGAGAGATAAAAATATTGTAAATCCAGTTTTCCAGAACTTTCCACAGAGGCCTAGCAGGAGAGGGCTCTTTCTAGACCACAAGTTCGGGCTCTCTGATTCCCTTCCAGGAGAACTGACTTAAGAGAATGGATTTTCTTGGCGGATTTGGGGCACCTCTCGGAGGTGTGAGGGTCAGGGGTGCCCATCGCAAGAACGAAACCTTAAGGGGCGACGAGGAAAGACGCCCCGAGGCACAACGTTCCCGTGCCCTGTCCCAACGCTCTGCCCACCCGCTGCTCACGGTCTCTTTCCCCCCTCGGGCAGCCCCGGCTGCGGGCGACCACAGGGGTCACGGGGCAGGGAGCGCCCTCGG